TTGAGCGTGGGCAGGGGGTCATTACCCTGAAACTTCAGCCTCCTAGACTCCATGGTTCCCGAGATATTAACTTACCCGTGCATAACTTTCACGGGGCCGTACGTGTTATCCGCGGGTAAGGAAAGGCTGATTTAGAATGGGCAAGGTTGAGCATGTGCAGTGGGTCATTACCCTAAAATTTCAGCCTCCTAGACTCCGTGGTTCCCTAGATATTAACTTACCCGTAAAAAACTTCCACAGGGCCGTACGCGTTACCCGCGGGTACGGGGAAGTTGAATTTAAATTTGCGGGGTCACACGTGGGTGGGGGACGTTCCCCTAAATTTTCAGCTTCCTAGCTCTTAATTTAAATTTGCGGAGTCACACGTGGGTGGGGAACGTTACCCTAAATTTTCAGCTTCCTAGCTTTGTGAAATTTGCGGGGTCACACGTGCAGGGCCGTACGCGTTACCCGCGGGTACGGGGAAGCTGAATTTAAATTTGCGGGGTCACACGTGGTTAAAAAACTTTCACAGGGCCGTACGCGTTACCCGCGGGTACGGGGAAGATGAATTTAAATTTGCGGAGTCACACGTGGGTCGTGTTACCCGTGGGTACCGGGAAGCTGAATTTAAATTTGAAGGGTCACACGTGAGTGGGGAACGTCTTACCCGCGGGTACGGGGAAGCTGAATTTAAATTTGCGGGGTCACACATGGGTGGGGAACGTCCGGCCGTACACGTTACCCGTGGGTACGGGGAAGCTGAATTTAAATTTGTGGGGTCACACGTGGGTGGGAAACGTTACCCTAAATTTTCAGCTTCCTAGCTTTTGTGGTTCCCGAGTTGAAAGTTGCGGACAAGTTGCTGCGGACAAACACACACACACACACAAACACACACACAGACAACCCCGTAACAATATGCGTTTTGTACTGCTGTTATATAGCACAAAACGCATAAAAAACGGGACCTGTGCTAGTAGAAACTGTCCTATAAAAAGTCGCCGTTAGTAGGGCACTTCCCTTTTTATTGAGCTAAGCGGAGGAGGGGGAGAAGGAGGTAAAGCTGAGGGCAAATAAATTCGATTGTAGGATATGAATTGAACAAAAAGGAGGTTGCGATGGAGTCAGCCTTTGTTTCTGTGAAATTTTGAAGACAAAAAAAAAGACGCAGGTGCTAGAAATGTGCACAGTCTCAGGCTGCCAAAGGCCATTGGAATTATTGTGTAAAGTTTTTGTGTAAATCAATCTGAACTTATTTGCTCTCAGCTTCACTTAAACATGAGCTTCTAAACTAGGAGAGTCACTTACTGATGAAAAATTGTTATAGGACAATTTGCACTCGTATAGACTCGGTTTGTTTCTTTTTACCTTTGCTTTTTTTTCGCAATTCGTAGGTCCAATTTTTTTTTTTTTTTGATTTCGCTTTTTTGTTTGTAAGTTTTTTTTTATTTATAAGCTCAGCTTTCTTTTAATTTACTTTTCCTTGTAGTGCTGTGTTGTTTCTTCCACTTCACTGTCATCTCCAGGTCTAGCCTCCAGTTCCTGACTAGTACACTTTTTCCCCTTCTCTATCTTGTCTTCAATTCCTGCCGCCAGAGCAGCATCTGGACTCGTCTCCAGCTCCGTATAACTGCACTCCCCAACCAGCCAGTGTTTTTCTTAACCTCTTCTCCTACCTTACTGATTCGTTATCAACTTTTCCAAATGGTGGATTGGGGGCTGTACTGACGATCCCCGCCCCAGTCCACACCGAATACTTTCTGCGTTTGCAGCTTAGGGATGAAACACAGACAGCCAAGTCTACACTCAGCCTTCACACATGTCCTCACTACATCTCCTGAACCTTTTTTCACAACATATGCTGTTTCACTGTCTCTTTTCACTTCTTGTTTTCTTGGTCTTTCCTTTCATAGCATTTTACTCGACTATATTTGCGTTCATTTCATCCCACTCCATTCCATTCCAGTCACCCTTGACCTCCAACCTTCGCAGTTTAAACCCCAAGTCATTCGCCTCCCCCCTACCCGCTCTTTCAACCATCGCCTCCACCCCCAACCACGTTATCCAACCACCGAGCACTGGGTAGCGCTCAGGGACGCTACTCAGCACTCACTGGCATCATTCCAAGCAGTGTCGGCAAGCGACATCCAGGAGAGCATTAGCAGAGAAACGAGAGCGTCTTTCAAGAGCGGCTGAGCCGAGTTGTAGTGAATGTCGATTTCGTTCGCTTCCACTGCATTACGTTAGAGCTTCACTTAAGCAGTTATTTTTCAGCTTATCATTTTCCGGATGTTTGCAATGCCCAGACAGCAGGTCCGTTAAGTTCAGTGTTCTCATTAATTGTGCTCATGTGAAATGCTGCACATAGAATTATCAACTATTCTGACTGGGCTAATTGGACCCAAGAATTCTGTCTTCAGTTTTCGTCAGTCCGAAGAATTAGGACCCCCTTCTAAATTGCTCTGTTTGGGGGGCTGAAGCAGTGGAAAGTAGCCGGACTGGTACCACGCCGCCGCAGCGTCCATTCGCTGGCAGGATTGTCAGTGACCCCTTTTTCTGAAAGTTACTTCCAGGCAAGCTAACGCGACTTTAACATTCGGAGATGTGTCAGCCCAGTTCATCGAGGCGAATGGGTAAATCGTTGAGGGATTGCTTATTCCACTGGCGGACTTAAACTTCCGATCACTGGATGATTGCAGCGTTAATTCAGCGCCGTTCCAGTCATTCCATAGCGGTATTGCTCAATCGCTTGAAATTCTTGGCGGCCTCTCGCGATCCTGTTGCCAACCATGAACCTGGCTGATGGGCACGCATTGTGCTTTTACTCAGTTTTCCCATCATACATTTTCACCTGCTCGATACAAGGCGAGAACTCACATTGACAAGAGGTTGTTGATGTATGTATGTTCAGATTTCGCCATCTACTTTCAGCTGAGCAGCCAAAAAGTGAAGAAGCTTGCAGGAGTGTTCCCAGCCTACGTATGATCTGGAGAGTTTAAAATCGGCGTTTGCAAATGTCTCATGTGCGGACGCCTAAAAGAAAACGTGAAAAAGTTTTGGGAATCAGACAAGATAGAAAGCTGAAATTTCACAAGGATACTGCAGACAAGGGCAGACCGTTGCGTGAGCAGAAGGTTTCAGATACAGCTCTTACAAATACCTACTTTACGAGCACGGACGCGTCAAAGTTGAAACCGAGGCATTGCTGACAAACAGCACCCCGCGAACCAGGCTGAACAGATTGCTCTAATTTCACGAGAACATTTGCTGTTCATTTGCAGGCCCGTAAACAAAACTAAGTATTGCACACGCCTGTATCTCACGTACGGACACGTCAGATGTATTTGTACCGAGGAAGCAATATACGGAATAAATCAAGCTACGAAGCTGAAATTTTGCGAGGATATGCGCTAGCCATGTGCGATCTAGAGCGTTTAAATCAGCTTTGCGGCACTTTATGTTTCACGTTAAGCAAAAGTAGAGTTTCAGTTTTGGTTAATTTTGGCATCCTTTTTAACTGACTAACCAGGTTAAGTAAGAAGCTGCAGTTTTATGAGGATGCTGACTGTCCATTTTGAGCCTATCAGCCTAATATGGGCTTTTGCTTATGCGTATGCTTCAGGCGCTGGCGCGTCAGATTTTCAAATTGTAACACTTTTTGTCGCCGTTCTGTCTGTAATTAGGCAGGAAAGCAAAAGTTTCGCAAGAATGCTTGCATATCACTAAGAGCGTAATATCATTCACAAACATCTACTTATTTAAGGTTTTGGAGAAAATATGAACAAAAAATGAAAGAGTTGTAAGGAATTATTAAAGTTGGTAAGAAATGTTTCGGTCCATTAAGTCGTATACATTTCTTGCCATTGCCACAGTACGTCGTGTCCTCCACTATAATCAAATATGCTGAAAGCTAAGATTTCACGCGCCCGCAATCAGCGCAACCCTATCGCCTTAGCCGGTGCTCCTTTCCCTCAGATGCGGGAAGAAACTAAAGACATTGCCAATATTAGCGCAAATATTAATCTGCAAAGCGGCGGCCGTTTATAGTATTAAGGATTCGATTGCTTCAAGATTCTTTTGCCCTCCACTGTTGATATATTGTTCTCAGTACCACATTGTACACTGTGCATTTTGTGTTTTTGCCCTTTGCATGCGTAGCTGCTTGATCCTTACAGTATTACCAACTATTGATTGCGCTGACAGTGGTTAATATCGTTAAACTTATCTAGGCAAAATACAACACACAGTCTTGGCATGCTTGCAGTACTATATTTTTTCCATATCTTGACACTGCCTAGTATTTTTCCACCCCTTCACCATGTTATTTCCCTGAATCGAAATTTTGAGGAATTTAGATATCAGTAAGCTGGAATCTTTGATTTCAACAAAAAAGTGGTATTGCTTTGCGTTCCTAAACGTAGCTCCTTCAAAATCAATATTATGCCCTCTACCCTATTGCCCACATTTGTCTTCGCGCATTTTTTTTTTTTTTTTTTACTATGTCTTTTAAAATAGCTTATTTTGTAGGCTTCACTGAAGCCGATGTTTGGCGCTGGACAGCAGTCGTCATCAAACACTCAGCAGCCAGCGGGTGTCAACGTTGCGCTTGAAGCGGGCAGTGAATGGGAAGTCAGAAAGGTCGGGTACAATGGCTCCGAGACACACAAAAGGCAATCTTTTCATTTCTGACAGGAGCAGTACTTTTCGAAACTTGCGACAAATTGTATATCATTGTAAAGTTAGTGGGCGCTAGCCGGTAGGCGATCCTTCCTGTATACTGCGCTTGGGAAAGGAGAGGGGAACTCCATATCGAACTAACTGTTTTGGTTTTGTCAGCACGTACTGTAATTCAGTGTTTGCAGACCGCTGGATTATCTGGGTCGAGTGGCAAAAATGGCCGGCAAGGTAGACTGGCTGGAATTGGCTGGTGCGGATGCCACATTTGGTAATCCAGATTCTCTGCCGCGTGACAATGATGGTGACGACGATGGTGATGACGCTGACGAAGAGATGGAATTAGACGAAGTAGAAAATGTGGTTGTTGGCATGGAAGATCGGAAGACGCCTGAAGCTGGGCCATGGCATGGTGTTGCCAAATATTATCAGTAATTTTTCCAAGTATTTTGATGACTCATTCAACGCTGGAAACTGTTTGTTTTTACTCGCAGGTTTGCGCAAAATTCGTAATGTTGCAAACAGATGTGGAGCGCATATGTATGCAAATGCAAAGTAGCATATTGTCGAAAAGTTGTATGTGTATGTCTGCGGGTGTTTGTGTGTTCGGGCATGAGTGTATCTTGTCACCCACTTTCAACTCAGCAACCAGAGAAAATAAAAAATTGGAATTTTAGAAACATATCCCCACGCTGTATGCTACCTTTCGTTTTAATATCAACGTCCATGGACGCCTAGATTTCACATATGAGCGTCTGAAAGAAAACATGATAATTTAAGCGATTTCAACAACGAGGGAGTATTGGAAACTGAAGCTTTGCAAAGATGTTCTCTGTCCTTGTGCATTCTAAAGACTTCAAATTCAGCTCTCACGCGTGCTTGCTTCACGCGTAAGTGCACGTCAAAGTTCCCACCTGGCACAGTGCCGACTCAAGAACTAATAGAACAAGGTTAGCTGTAATTTTACGAGATCGTCAGTGTGGGAAGCTTGTGTAGCTAAATTGGTATTGTGTTTGTGTTCCGCGTTAGAGCAGCCGAAATATTTGTGGCGAAATGGACAAGCTAATATTTAATTCTACGAGGTTCTTCTGTGCCTGTGCGCAAACTGAGCATTTTAAATTCAACTTATAGATACTTGTGTCTCGCGTTATGCGCAAATGAAATTTCAAACTTGAATAACTTTAACACTCATTTATTTTATAACTAGATTAAGCAGGAAGCTGGAATTTTGTGAGAATATTTATTATCCATATGCAAGCCTGTGATTGTAAAATTAGATTCTGCTTTTGCATGTGTCCTGCGTCCGAACGTGTCAAATTTTCGAGCTGCAAGACAGTATTTTTGCCGTCGTCCTGTCTCGGTTAAGAGCAGCCAAGAAAGCAAATTTTACTAGAATGCTGACGTATCTTGTATGTTGCTAAAAGCGTTGAATCAGCTTCCATAAATGCTTATGTCTGTCATACGGATACGGCGACCCTGAGAATGCATTTTGGCGACAGTACTTGCAAAATTTACAGTAATCATAGATATTAGAGGATAAGATTTCATGCGACCTTATGATGCATCATTTATGTTCCCTGCTTGTAAGAGAGGATTGAAACACAGCCAACATGTCTGCGCATGTTAAACTCTAAAGTAGCAGCCATTATATTGTTGACGATCTGACTGCTTCAAAATTTGGTTAAAAACTTATGATCGCACTGGTAATTCTGGTGCGCACTGCTGTCTGGGTTATGGTTTCCGGCCCCGCCCGCAGAGATTAAATGCCTCTTTATCTATCATTCCCTTAGAGAGCTTTCATTCTACCCGATTTGATGTCCGCTAGTTCATCAAACAAGCCGTATGCTGTGCCCAGTGGATTTCGAATTTATAGCTCTGACGTCTACGCATTCTGTTCAATAGGTAGTGTAGCCGGCGCAGTGGTTCAAGTAGACGGCGGAAGTGTTGTGCTTTGGTATGGGTGCTACAGCCGTTATGGTGCCAATTATTTGATGCTCACTAATTTGAGGATTTAGCTTCACAGTTTATTTGCAGCCATTCTCTCCAGCAAGTGAACACGCTGGCAGACATGGTGGCGATTCTGAAGACATCTGGTATGGAAGCATTAACAGTCGCAGACACATTCGAAGTTCAGCACAATATGCAGGATATGATACAGCAGTCCAAGCAATTCCAGTGGGTCACCAGACGTAAAGGGCTTGGTGAAGCGGTTGCCGTCTTCGAATATGGGCAGAAAATGCGCGCGAAGATATCTGCAGAAAACGATATCGAGAAGGAGCTGTTTTTTCGTGAGCTGAGGAAAATGCGGGAGTTCTGGCGAGTTCGCAAAACCGGCGATATAATGTATGGCGATCTCGGCTATAAAATATGTCGGTGTTACAAGAAATGGGTTTCAAGTCCAAATTCTGAGTTTTTGCTATGCCTGAGAATATTTAAATTTGGCATTCATTTATAATTGCATGTCGTTCCGGCGCAAAAGTTTAAATCAGAAAGTGAGTTAGTCGAAATAGATCATGTCAAAATGAAGTTAATGCAGGGTAGCGGTATATTCCAATTTAGAATGCATAATGACAACACATCTGCAAGTGATGATCGTACTCTTCAGCTAGAAATTGCACCTTAAAGGGTCGTAAAATAGTACAAATTTGAAGGCATTGTGTTCTTAACTGCTAACGACAAATGAAGGATTAAACGGATCTCATAAATTCCACTGCAGTGAAGGGAGTGACGGAGAGATGTTAAGCATGGCTGTAACAGAGTCGACAGTGAGACACTGAGTACCACGAGTATTCTTCACCATCATACACATAGTCAAGTACCTGTCTGATGGAGACGGTATGGGGAATGTCACTTTGACCAGCAGAAAAACATTGTTCATCAGGCAGAGGAGCAAGGCCATGCTTGCTGACAATTGGCAAAATTTGTCGTGAAGACCTCCAAAGAAAAGATTGTTAGTACAGCGATGGGCATAAATGAAGACAAATGGCGCGGAACAGTGTGTCTTTTGTCGTTTGCGCTGTGCGTTTTTGTCCAAGTAGGTTCGGGGACTTGTAAACGATAATGTGAATGGCATTTCCGCAGTGCTTGTCAATTTACAAGAAAGCTAGCACTGAGAAAGAGCACTGCTGAAATCACTCTGGCCGAAGGCTGAGTGATTTTTTTTTTTTTTTGACGAAAAGTTGACCCTTAAAAAAAATTATGGGAACTTCATTCCTGAAATCTGGCACTGATCGAACGCACTGCAATGGGGCAAGTGTGGCTTTTCAGCAAACTGTCGCTTGCTGTAGTGCAAAAAAATCATTTAGTGTTTTCCGAGCTTTAGCGCTCAGTTTTTGCATGCTGAAATACACTGAGCATGGTGCTCTGATGAATAACTCTGTGTTTTTAGTTGGCTCAAAGTACAAGCCGAGGGATTTATTTGATATCAGGCAACGTGCTGGAATCTCCTCATCAGCAGGTAGTGATAGCATAGGCGCCACCTCATTGTCGACTGCTGATTCGTACCTTCAAATTCAACTGCCGTGCCACTTACTGCGACGTGCATCGGTTGCTGTTTCCATCGAAACTGGTTAGTACTACACAACTGCTTGTGATGGATTTTGGACCGTCTTTTACTTCCTCATAATTACTAATACAATAGAAGAATACTGTGTTCGTTGAGCGCATTTGAAATGATCCAGATCAGTAGATGAAATCTTCGAGCTTTCCTTCACACTAGATTTCGTTTGGTGAGTCAGAAGTGGTGGCTCATCCAGTCAACATCTTATTTTGTATTTTTGATATGATGTGATTTGTTCTTAGATGGCGATGATCCAAAGGATTTATTCGCAACATCAGAGAATGAGTTGGATTGTTTGAAACTTTGTCAAGAAAAAGCATCCGAAGTCCCATGGCCTAAAGCGCTGAACTGGGCGCAGGAAAATTTGGTTTGTAAGGACATTTTCAAACAGGTGTTATTTCGTTTTCTGTGTTTTTCTGAAACTCAGTAAAAAAAAAATTTACCTGTAGATGCGTTGTTTTTTCTTTTTTTCCATCTAAGTTTCGAATGTGTGGTCGAAAAG